GCAAGCAAAGTACCAGCAAAGGAGGGGAAAAAACCTCCAGAGAAATTCCTGAGACAGGAGTGTCTAGTCCTGCCAAGAATGTAATAAGGGTTAATGGAGAGGCAGTTTCTGTAAACAAAACCACAATGTTTCCTTCCTGCCTTCCTTACAGGATTAGGCCAGTAATTTCTTCTAACAACCGGTTCTCCGAACTGCTTAGAATGTTAACAACCGGTTTTAGAGAATAGGTGGAAACTGGTAGAATCCCACCCCTGTAATCATACCTCTTCAGCCCTTATTCTTAGCACTGGCACACCACAGGATTGCGTATTGAGTCCCTTACTCTATACTCTTTATGTGCATGACTGCATTCCCACTCATGCTAGTAAAACTATTGCTAAATTTGCAGATGATACAACAGTGGTGGGACTAATCTCCAGGAGGAGGGATGAATCTGCCTATCGAGATGAGTTGGACCGGTTGCTTTTGTGGTGTGGAGACAATAATTTGTTCCTCAACACCAATAAGACCAAGGAGCTTATAGTGGACTACAGAAGGAACAGATCAGACAAGCAGCCCTTGCTTATCAATGGAAGGTTAATGTCATTGCCCAGAAGATCATTGGTTGCCCTCTCCCCTCTTTGGAAGAGCTTTATAGCTCCTGCTGCCTTAAGAATGTTCAAAACATTCTCAAAGATCCATCTCATCCTGGGAACCCTTTTTTTGAACTATTACCATCTGGCAGACGGTACAGAATAATAAAAACAAGGACAAATGGGCTGAAAAACAGCTTCTATCCCAGGCAGTAGCTTTTGAATTCTGCTGTATAGTGCAGTGTTGGTGTGGTGTCGAGGGTTTCCGGTTCAATGTGTGGAGGGTGAAGGATGTGTGTTTGTGTTTATTTTCATGGTCATGATGTTCATTGAAGATGGTGTTTGATTTCGTTGTACGAGGTGCAATGACAAAGTAAACTAAACTAAACTGACATGTTGCGAAGGCAGTTGTTAAGTGAGTTTTGCCCCATTTTATAACCTTTTTTTCTACAGTTGTTAAGTGAATCATTGTTAAGTACCTCATGTGGTCATTAAATGAACCTGGCTTCCCTCATTGTTTTTGCTTGTTGGAAGCTGGTTGGGAAGGTTACAAACGGTGATCCCGTGATCCCAGGACAGTTCAAATACATACCAAGTTGCCAAGTCCCTGAATTTTGATCACATGACCACAGTAGTCATCAGTGTGAAAAATGGTCATAAGAAATTTTTGGTCATAAGAAATTTTTTTCAGTGCTGTTATAACTTTAACCAGTTACTAAATGAATAGTTGCAAGCTAAGGGCTACCTGTATTGAAGACATTTAAATTAAATTAAATTATCTGGATCAATCACTGTAGTACCACAAGGAACACAATTGATTGAAACATCTTCTTGTGTCTAATATACAGCTTGTATTCAAAATAATAAAGATTAAAATCAAGGGATAAAATTCTCTTAGATAATCCTAAAATTTTTTTGTGTATATTTGAGTAAGTTTTTGATTTCTAGTGATTGCCTGGACTAGTCTCTGCAGTTTTCTTGGCAATATGGTTTCAGAAATGGTCTGCCCGTGCCTCTTTCCTAGAGCTGGGAGGGGGACTGGTCCAAGATCACCCAGCTGGCCTTTGTGCCCAAGGCAAGTCCAGAACTCGTCTTTTGGTTGCTCATCTGATTCCTTCTTCACTCTAATGCTCTGAACATTAGAATTCCACAATATTCATAAACACTCTGTGTGTGTATACTATACTAATACAGTAAGGTGAAAGAATTGCTGACTTTTTGTCTTTGCTATACAGGTAGTCCTTGACTTACAACCACAATTGAGCCCAAAAGTTCTGTTGCTAAGTGAGACATTCGTGAAGTGAGTTTTGCCCCATTTTACGATTTTTCTTGCCACAGTTGTTAAATGAATCACTGTAGCTGTTAAGTTAGTAACATGGTTGTTAAATGAATCTGGCTTCCCCACTGACCTTGTTTGTCGGAAGGCTGCAAATGGTGATCCTGGGAACTGCAACTGTCATAAGTATGAACCAGTTGCCAAACATCTGAATTTTGACCACATGACCCTGGGGATGCTGCAATGGTCATAAGTGTGAAAAACAGTCATAGGTCACTTTTTTCAGCGTCATTGTAACTTTAAACGGTCATTAAATGAACTGTTGCAAGTTGAGGATTACCCGTACAGTCCACAGTATGGCAACTGTCCTGAAACTACTTTTTGCAACACTTTTTGACTTTACCACTAGGTGGCAACAACACATTTACACATTCATTTTACATTAGAGAGCCTTCCCAAATTTTTATTTTCTGAATTTCCTCATAGTAGTAGAATCCCAGATTTGTCTTATTGTTTCTTGTTCTACTTTCAGGTTTACATTTAGAAAATATTAGAGACAAGGAAGTGGAGCACAAAATTTAAAAAATGAAAAAAAAAATGACCTAAGTGCTAGAGCCCGCTGTAACTATATAGCCAAAAAAACATTAAGAGTTGTTAGCCTAATCCTACGTAGCTTTTTCTCTGGTAATATCACACTACTAACTAGGGCATACAAAACATTTGCCAGACCAATACTCGAATACAGCTCATCAGTCTGGAAACCACATTACGTATCTGATATTAACACAGTTGAGAAAGTCCAGAAATATTTCACAAGAGTTCTACACTCCTCTACTCGTTGCAGAATACCTTATGCCACCAGACTCGAAGTTCTAGAACTAGAAAACCTTGAATTACACCGTCTTCGGTCCGATCTAAGTATAGTATATAAAATCATACATTGCAATGTCCTATCTGTCAATGAATACTTCAGCTTCAACCATAACAATACAAGAGCAAACAATAGATACAAACTCAAGGTTAACCGCACCAAACTTGATTGCAGGAAATACTTCAGCAACAGAGTGGTCAATGTCTGGAATACTCTACCTGACTCTGTGGTTTCTTCCCTAAACCCCAAAAACTTTAACCTTAGACTGCCTACTATTGACCTTACCCCTTTCCTAAGAGGTCTGTAGGGGGCATGCATAAGTGCACCAAAGTGCCTACCGTCCCTGTCCTATTGTTTTTTTTATTTTTCTTATATGTACTCATTTCTTGTATTCATAACTATGTTTATCCTTATACCTATTATTTTGTAAGCAATTGACAAATCAAATAAATAAATAAATTATGGTCAAGTTTCGAGACTAAGTAGCATTAGGTCTGTTTTAATACTTAACTCCCTTTTTTTCCCCTTGAGATTCTGATCTTTACATATTCATATTATTTTATAAAAATGTGGAACTAAAATTTCGAGGCAACATCCCAATTGGCCATGGTATTGGCCTGGTGGAGGGAACAATGGCAACATGAATATGACAATGGATGATTTTTGTACGTGTGTCAGATGTCCTGAGGCAAGTGAGCATTTTATGTAATTGTGGCATTTGTACGATTACCCAATCATACCTGTCTTCATTTCAGCATCATGGTTTGCTTGGAGCAGGTTTTGTAATAACATTAAAGCATATATCATCATCTGTTATTGGGCTTACATTTAACACAAGTGTGTAATTTGGATTGTTTTATTTGAGAAGTAAAATGTCTTGGGCCAACTGGACAACAGGAGCTTGTGTATAATTCAACAATCAGAATTCTCAGGTTAGGAAGAACTGTTGTGTCAATTGCTGGTGCCCAAGACTAACAAAGGAAGGGCCAAATAACAATTGTCTCTACCATGGGGAGGGGGAATAATAGAATTTATGTTTATTCTTCTCTGTTCTCTTCTAGCTTCCAACAAAAAAGTCAATGGGGAAGCCGTTAGGAAGTTGCAAATGGCAATCACATGATCACATGATAATGTGACTGCACAGGGTTCACTTAATGATGGCAACTGGGGCTGTCACAACTGTTATTGTAAACCGGTGTAGTCATATGGCATCATGCTTTATAATCACATCACCTATGGATCAAGTTACTAGCCCCAATTATTCTTGTTAAGTAAGGACTACCTGCATACATATCCACTTTAAATCAGTATTCACACTATTCATAGTGGCCCTTGCTTCTCTCCCTCAAATTTATACATTTCCTATAATGAAAAGATGAATAAAGGTACAAACATCATATAAATTAAATTGGAAAAAAGTTCTTGAATCCTTCACTCATAATTTTGCTATTTCATTTCCACAAATGAACATAGTACAAAGGGAGTCATAAGGATTTAATAATAATAATAATATAATAATGCCAATGCTGACCCTTGCCCTCTCCCACACATATGTGTTCACAAGGAAAACCTTTCCAAGAAAGTATTTACAACTTTACAACATGTGAGCATGTCTTGGATCAGCCCTTATAAATAGCATTTACATATTAAAATAAATATTTTCACATTGCCAAAATAGCATAAGCTGTTTTCTTCATTATTTAAAAAATATGTTACAAAACAATATCATTAATTTTATATTTCTTGCTTATTTCTTTTAAAAGTCAAGTAATAAAATCATTTTATAAAACAATACAAAAGTAAATAGAATACATGGTAGATCCATTTGTAGCCACTGTGCTTTGTTTGTACAGTATCTTACATGGTGAGCTGCTGGCTCCAGGAAGTCCTCATGGTCATATCTTCCTTTCTGATGGGAGAATAATTCAGTGCTCCCACCCATCCCCAAAGTCACTCTATGGCCTAGAAATGCCTTGGAAATGACAAAATGCATGAAGGCCCTTATGCGTTCTTGAAGATGGAGTTTCTAGGCACCCATTACTTCCTGTAGATTGTCCTTGTGAACAGAGGTACTGCTTGGCAGTAATGTGGAGGTAATGCTTCATTTAAGTGGGTAGATGAGATTCTGTCCATTTGATCCTGATAGGCTAATTGTGCAAGAGCTATGTGCATTAGTTTGGCTACTTGTCTCTGTACATGTTTATGTGCTGTACGTGAGCAAAGAAGGCAGAAAGTTTGGGTGCCTAAAGAGTCAAGCCATTGTCGCTAAGAGAATACACTTCTAGCTAGCACTGCTCAGCATCCCTAGAAGTTTACTGGGTTCCAGCCCTTGCTGCTGTGCCATCTTCTGCACATCAAAACCCATATGCATGAGAAATTGGATCACATTCATCTCTTGGCCGGTGTACTGGTCCCGGATGGTAGGGCATGATGGGTTACAATGTGGCCACGGGCAGCTGTCAATCAGATGGACCGGGCAGCCTTTTAATGGGGCTTTCCCATTCTTATTGCTGTCATGTAGACTGCGATCCCAGCAGTGCAGAGCTCGGGGCAAAGAGGTCCCTTTCACTTGGATGTCTGTCCAGTGACTGAAAAAGCAACCCATACAGATGAAAACGTGTGACAATTTGCATGTTACTTAGAACATTACTTTATAGGTGACTAATCACAATATAGGCATAACTCTAGAGAGCCAGCTGACATTAGAACTTTCAGCTGTGCTTCTGAACACTCATGGGATATGAGGTAGCAACAAAAAAAAAAAAGGTTCAATCTATCTGAAACATACATGACAATGTATGAGAATCAAAATAACACAGAATACATGACAATGTATGAGAATCAAAATAATACAGAATCAATTTACACAGGTTACTAGAAGTTCCAAAAGTTGGATGATCTGCTTTGTTTATATATATAATTTATATGCTCAAAATATAGTTTTCTAACATTCTAGAAAGTCAGCAGTGTTCCAGAGAAGGAGAGGCAGAATTTCACTTTCTGGATTTTTTCACTTTTTGCTCTTTTCCCAAGACAGCTCAAGATCCACTGACGTTTACTATAAAACAGTTACTCAAAGTAGACATCTAATAGCAGAATGCAAAAAGGGGAGCTTCTGAAACCAGTCATTTATTCTCAGTATCCAAACTATATTTAGTTTTTTCAGAGAAAAAGATCAATTCTGTCTATCCCACTTTTTCTCATTTTTAGCAGCCTGGTTAAAAGTTGTGGGCAAATTTATGTCACCTCTGCTAATCATAAATGCTTATAAATGTAAATTACCCAGAAATCTACAAACATACTATAGATTTCAGTGTATTTTCTGCTCACTGCTGATTTAGCCAGCCTTTCTTAATAAATAGTGAATGACTTTCATTCGATAGAGAAGTGAGAAAACAGGAAGGTGCACCTTTCCATTCTACATACTTACTTGCGTGTTATGATCTCATGGGACAAACAAGCTGGAGCAAAACTGGCTCTGAATGAGAAGGGGGGAAAGTCATAAAATCAATGTGATAGAAAAAGAAACATTTTGGTATGTCTTTTTTAACAACTTTGAGTTTTAGAATACCTAGTAGAATTTAGGCATATTGCTGCAATAAAGGTATCTACCCGTATTTTTTGGAGTATAAGGTGCACTTTTCTACCCCCCAAAAGTGGGTGGAAATATCTGTGTATCTTATACAGTGAATACGGGCCCATTTTTGGCTTCCCAAAGCCTCTGCGTGTCCCATTTTTGCCCTCCCCGGTGTCCAAAAGCACTCTGCAGGCCAAAAATGCACCTGATTTTGGCGTCCGGAAGCCTCTGGGGGTCCTGTTTTTGCCTTCCTGGTGTCAGGGAGGCCGAAAACAGGATGCTCAGAGGCTTTAGGAGGCCAAAAACGGGCCAAATTTTTGGCCTGTAGAGTGCTTCTGGACGCTGGGGAGGGCAAAAACGGGACGCATGGAGGCAAAACACTATTTTTTTCTTGCTTTCCTCCTCTAAACCAAGGTGCGTCTTATAGGCCGAAAAATACAGTATATAACTTGCTAGATGCAGGAAGCTTAGATCTCAGACTTGAATTGCTTTGAAGCACTATTCTTAACATACCACACAGAAGCTAAGTCACCACAGATTTAATTTCATTATCTCTTGTGACTGGGTATTGTGAATACTTCTGTCAAGAGAAAGCAACTGAGTCATGTGACAGGAATATAAAGTCACTGTCCTTATCTTAATTTTAACAGAGTAAAAGGCCTGAGATGCACTGCTGACTCCCATGAACAGCAATATAAGCAAAAAAATTTAACCATACAAGTCTAGTGTTTAATAATGTGACATATCATTGAAAAATTTTAAGATAAAATTCTTAGATCCCAGGAAAGGAAATGTCCTTAAACGGAAATTTTGAAACATGAAACAAAACTAACGTCACATCTTTGAGAGTATTCCTCAATTCACGGCCCAGGTTTTGGATATAAACCCACTGTCCTTCCTGTACAGGCTGGCCAGTCAAATGTACATTGTCCACAGTGAGTTGAGCTTCATCAAACAGCCACTGCACCACAAAAACAGGACCTACACAAAGAAGAATTTAGTACTAATAGCATCACTAATAGGGCTATAAACTTACTGGCTTAAGTGATTAAGTTACTGGCTTAACTGAACTAAGTAACCAAGAATGGATTAGATTAGTATATGGAAATTTTAGAAAGAGAAACAAAAAATTAAGGACAAATTTTGGTATATCCTGGTATGCCATGTAACATTTTCTTGTGCATTTACTGTTGAAACCATTTTTATCTAATCACATGGTAGTCTTTATTTGCTAAATTGTAGATGTCTCTGGAAGATTACTCCACACTTTCTTCAGTTAAAATAGTCAATTAAAATAGTCTCACATTCCCCAAACACATCCTATTTACACTGAGGTATTAAAGTAATATGAATATTTATTTATATTCAGCAAATCAATGAAAAATGTAAAAATCACATAATTAACTAAAACAAAACATTTACCTGGCTGACAATACTAGCAATACTTAATAACAACCAGTTAGTATTAATTATATAGATAAGGAGAATTTGTCTGAAATGCATTTCAGATATCACACAGCAACAGGCCTTTACTGGCACACTTACATCGGAGAGTAGGATAAATTTTATAGCCAAAGAAACAATTCCATTCTTCTCCTTCTCTAAACTGCATTTTGCAGCGTTCAGGAACAAGTCCATTCCAATATCTGAGAGTTAAAAAAAATAGCTCGAGTTAATTACCCAAATTCATTCTACAAAAATAGTTAATTATGCTATATAGAATATTTGGGATTGAGAGGCAAGAGTATGTAAATCATGATGGGTCCTTGGCGCTCTCTGAATTTGCTTATTTTCTTGCAGACGTTTCAATACTCAAACTAGGCGTCATCATCAGTGCTAGGACTAGCACTAGCACTGATGATATTACCTAGTTTGGATAATGAAACGTCTCCAAGAAAACAAGCAAACTCAGAGAGCACCAAGAACCCCTCACATCAACCCTGAGCTATAAAGTTTATCCTTTATTAGTATGTAAATTCCAAAAAGAGTGGACAGTAGAGGGCAGACAAACCACACATTGAAAATGTATATATTTTTAAAAAGTTAAAAGGTAAAGTTTTCCTTTGTTCTGTTGCGTCTGACTCTAGGGAGCAGTGCTCATCTTCGTTTCCTAGCAGAGGGAGGCAGCAATGTCCAAAGACCTTTCTGTGGTCATTTGGCCAGCATGACTATACAATGAAGACGCATGGAACGCTGTTACCTTCCCACCAAAGTGGTAGCTATTTATCTACTCACATTTGCATGCTTTCAAGCTGCTAGGATGGCAGGAGTTGGGGTGAGAAAAGGAGCTCACCCCATCATGTGTTGCTTGCTGGAATGAAATACACCTTCAGTTTCTCTGTCTATTGATAGATTACTAGAATATTTACTATGTACTTTCTACACAACCACATGTTGTGGTTCGCTGGCAGCAGGTGTGGACGGCTGAGGTCTCAGAGAGTGAGGATTCGGTTGAGGGGCCTGCGTGTGATGCAGGGATGGGGCCAGGACTACCAGAGAGTGGGAGGCTACCTTCGGAGCTTGTGAAGTCTGGTAGCAGTGATGCAGGGGACCCCGAGGAGCCTGTGCCCAGTGCATGTGCACGCAGGGCTGCTCAAAGGAAAGAGCAGTTGCAGCAGCCTGGGCGACTTGGGAGTAAGGCTGCAAGGTGATGACCCTCCCTTAAGGGATAAAAGCCAGCCCTCAGAGGTGGGATTCTTTGCAGGAAGCAAAGAAGTTCTTGCACTTCAAGTTATTGTGGAAGTTCGGTTTATCCCGGTTTGTTTTCGGAGACTTTTGGCTTTGAATATTTCCTGGCAATTTATCTTGTGTTCTTGGCAGCCTTGCACAACCTTGACAGGGCTTGCTCTTATCTGGGAAAATTAGTTTTAATAGCATTTTAATGTGAATGAATGGAATTCACAGAAATGCATTAAAAAGATTTTGCTTTCATCTCTGTTTTGCGTTTTTTGATTTGAACGAGGCTTGGGTCAGAACACCACATTTCATGAATATTATTTAGCATCTCTGAAGACTGTAGCTCATGTTAACTATCAAGGGAAAGTCTCACTTAATGTCTCATTCATTTTAGATTTCCAGGAAATATGTTAAAAACTTCAGTACCTAATTCCTCTCCTGATGGCTTCTGTGGGGGCGCAGGTTATGGTATCAATGCAGTCTGTCCTACGATATTGTTTATTATCCAAGAACCAGCCAGAGTCTGCAAGACCACGGACCTGAATCCCAGGATATCCCAGCTCTTCCAGCTGTTCAGCCACTCGATCCACATTCAAGAGGACTCCTGTTCCACCAGCACTGCAATGACAAGTCAAGTCTTTGAAGCAGAACTCCTCCATATTGTTGCCTGCAGAACCATGGCTTGTAGGCAAGGTCTATCACATCACATCAATTAATGTTAATTAAATACCAAATTTAATTGCTTATTTGTTTGTTCATTCTTTGGGCCATTTACAATGCATTAAAAACCACACAAATAGTTTCTAAGCAGCATATCTCTTTAAGAACTGATTAAACAATAGTTTTAACTGGAGAAAATAAAAATGCCTTTGGTTCTGAAAAGACAACTGAGAGTACTTTATTGAGAAGGCATTCATGGATGGATACTGAAAAAGCCCATTCCAGGTGGCAACTAACTGCACTGCTGCATAAGAATGATATCATAACATGGTACAAATAACTGATAGAAATTGTTATCATTTGTATGGTGGCACAAGATCTGTGAGCTCGTCATGGCTTCCATTGAATGCTTATCATGGGAGGGCATTTGTAGAATGGCTTCAAAAATGATTTTATCATTATGAGAAAAAACATGAGGGAATAGATTTTGTAGGTTGATCCCAGCACCTTAAAATTAAGTGGACAATTATCGTCAAGGCAGGTTTTGAAGATTGTGCTCCACCTGTGAAACACCCTACCCCAAAAAAATCTCTCCTGGAGCTGATTGATTTTATATTCAGACCAAAAAAAAAAAACCCCTACTTTGTCTAAGTGGACATTTCAACAAGTACAGTTAGTCATTGTGGTTATTTATAGGTATCACCAGGGGTGGGATTCTACCAGTTCGCACCTATCCGCTAGAACCGATTGTTAATATTCTAAGCAGTTAAGAGAACTGGTTGTTAGAAGAAATTACTGGCCTAATCCTGTAAGGAAGGAAACATTCTGGTGTTGCTTACAGAAACTGCCTCTCCGAAAACCCTTATTACATTCTTGGCAGGAGTAGACTTCCTGTCTCAGGAACTTCTCTGGAGTCCCCCCCCCCTCCTTTGCTGGTACTTTGCTTGTGTGGAGTAACTATTCAAAGTTACAATGGCACTGAAAAAAGTGACTTATGGCCATTTTTCACACTTACGACTATTGCTGCATCCCCACAGTCACAAGAGGCCAGGCGAGGAGATGCGTGCCTTGATGTGAATGATATTGAGTTGGCCACACCCAGCCAATAACATGACCACCAAGCCATGCCCACCACCTAAGCCACGCCCACAGAACCCGTTGTTAAAAATTTTGAATCCCACCCCTGGGTATCACTGAGTTGCATCTTTTACTTTAAAAGTTTGCTTCTATTATTTATTTTTCTATGTTTACTTTTGAAATGTTTTATTAACATCCTTCTCCAACTCACACACAAGCATATATTTATTAGATGTGTTTTCATAAACAGACATATACCTGCTTCCTGCCAACAGCAACACCTTGGCATTTCCAAGGCCTTTCCCCAATAATTCCTTTACAACTTCTTGTATGATGAGAGCACCCATGAAGACAAATTCATCTGTAGGAGATGAAGAGAGGGGGGATGAAAAAAATTATAGTAAGTAAAACTGGCTAAGATTTTTTGCTATTCTCATTGAAGATATGGAGTAATTAATATTGAAAAATATACTTTTATACCATAAGTTACTAATGAGTGTTCAGTGGAAAAGTGAACCTAGCAAATATTGCAAGTTTGTTAGCATGCTTCAGATCTAAATTCTTTCATTTATTTGTTGAGCGTGACAAACTGGACAATCTCTGCCTTTCATGTTCTTTCAAGTTTAGGATTAGTTTTCTGAACATTTATTTGCCTTACCTTCCAAGTACATGTTTTATAAGCTGATCAAAGAAAGAACAGAATTCTGGGAAAAGATTCTTTAAAAAATAGCAGCAAGATGGACCTCTATCCACAGCAGGGAATCTGAATTATGGTATATATATCTCCCGTTTCAGGAAAGCAGAACTTGTAGGGCTTCAAATATTGCTGGACTTCCAACTCTCAACACCTCTCAACTTGGCCATGACAGCTTCAATAGCTGGGAGCTGAGGTTCAGCAAATCCAGAAGCTACAAGTTCCCCATCCAAACATTGGAAGAACAGAACAGAGGACAGAAAAAGGTAGCATCTATGGGAAGATCCTGTTGAGAAAGATTGTAGCATGCTTTGGCAATTGCTAACCTCTGCTTTCACTTAACCTGCATCCAACTACAGGAGATAGCTATTGTTTTTTCCCTGCTAGAATACCTAGCACATGATCACTGCTAACTGAGACCAAATGTTACCATTGGAAACTGGGATTGCATTCATAGAACATCTCTGATTTAGCAAAAACCAACAACAACCTGGTCTTCCATACTGTGTAAAATCTTTACAAACCACAGTAATTAGAGTCACAAATAACTCTATGCCAGAATCAACCCAGCTATATGATGACTCGTTGCAACATGTGAGCCAGGCTAATTACTTTACATCTTTTCTAAAAAACTTTAAACCTTAAAAAAAAACTAGACCGAAGAAGAGAAAATAGAGTTTCAATCAATTTCAAATGATGAACTTCAATCAACATAAAGGATATCTTATGATGAAAGAGAAGTGCATCCTAGAGAAGACTACATCCTATTGTAGAAAGTAGAATAGAACTATAGAGAGAGAAATTGTTCTTGAGGTGACATTAGCAAGGATATAGTCAGGAATGGTTGTTCATGCTTAGGGAGAGCGTCTTTTCATTTTTTGCATGAAAAACAACAGAGGGGCTTGTGGTACCATACATCAGTCTGCATTTAAGGCAACACTGAAGATGTCAGAAGTTCCTCAGTTGTTTTCCATACAAATGGAAAACTGGGAAGATGGTCAATATCCAGGAATCTGGGGTGTCAGCTACTGACGCCAAATGGAAGGTAGGAGTCCTAAGGAGAATATAAAGTTCTGGAAAGAGAAATACAAAAGGTCCATATTTTATCTATTGAGTCAGTTATGTTAAAAAGTCCCAACTGCCCGAAGCTCTGCTTTAGTCAGTCAAGAGAGCAAATGTTTATCACTTATATCAACAACATCCAGATGGATGTTTCTGGCCACACAGTGCCTTCCCATGCCATATCTGTGATAGATCTAGATGATGATGGCCTTCAAGCGCATGCACAGATATCAAGAACTTTCTCGATTCCATTTGGAAGTCCGGACACCATTTGGTCTTTCCTTATTTCAAGTTTAGCTAAATGAAACAGTTGCTCAGACTCTTGAGATGCAACCATTTCCCTCAGGCTGTTGCTCAGTTACTCCCATGTGGGGTTCTGAACCGTGACAAAGCAGGGCTTGCAAGCGGATGCATTATCTAGAGGATATTTATTATTTCTTCCTGCCCGCTGGCAAGCATCCTTTCTTCCTTTGCACAACTGTAGAGAATTCAGGCCAGATTCCTTTAATGCATAATGCCTGTTTGGCAGCAAGAGCCTGTCAGAAGCACTCACTTTTCTCAGTTTTGGCAGAGGCTCCACTCCAGACATCACTTGAGCAATATGGGATGAAACTGCAAGAGAACAGATGTCCTTGAGCACCAATATTCTTTTGATATGCATGGAGGGGTAAGACAAGAGTAAAAGTCCAGCAAATTAAACCCTAAGAGCGATAAGAGAAAATCGTTTAAGCTTGGCTCACTCAGATCTGATGGTACCAGCATTTTATACAACTGATATCCCAGGGCATGAAGCATCAAAATAAATAAATAAAATGAAATGAAATGAAAATTCCTCTAACACTTGGAGCTAAATGCCAGGGAGCTGCACTTGGTCAAAGTTTAGTGCATTTCCAATATATGTTTAAGAATAGAAGCTTTATTCTTACTTTTGTGGCAAGCATGGAAAATGTTCAGTAATTTTAAAATTCATAGATCTGCATGGCAAATGCCACTGTTCTGATTCTGTTTCTACTTTCCCCTGTATTGTGCTCCATTGAAGCTATCAACATCATCTTAGTTGATAGCTACACATTAATTAGTCTAGATGCTTTTTGAATTAGACATTACTCTTGGTCAAAGAATGACCCTGCTGTCTAAAAACAATGTCATATAAGGAAAAAAAATATCCCAATGAACAGAACAGCCATTCTAATTCTAATCAGCCATTCTAACAGCATTTAAATATGTAAAGCGGGCTTTCAGATTAATGGCTATCCTCTGATATTTACTTTTATTTCCTAAGTCTGCTATCCAATCATCCTAGCCAGAAGTTCTATTGACATGGAACTATATTACCTTTCTAAAAGGCTTAGTGTGAATTTATTTGCTGGAGAAACTCTGTATAGTTTTGCTAAGAATTAACACCAATTTGATGGCACATAATCAGTTGGGTCAGTTATTACTATTATAGAAAATATCTAAGACTACAGTTCATCAGAGAAGTGCAGACAGAGAATGAAATCCATCCTCACTGGCTTCTCCATTATGGCCAAGCCATTCTGCATTAAAGATCTAGCAGTGGTGTTTCTAACACAGTCATAGAATAAGGGAGGAATACAAAGATCTCAGGCTAACATTGTTTTTCCCTTCCAGCCTACCCACCTAGAGAACTTCTGCCTTACTGGCATGAATGAGGCAGAACTTCAGATCTCACCATCAGGATTTTTCCCTCCCCACAGTCTTTGGATTGTTCTGGAAGACTTTCTTAATGCACTAACAATCCATTCTGTTTCCTCATTATTCTCATTTATTTTCATTTGTAATTTCTACTCGTGCTTTTTTATAGGAACATTACAACTTGCAAATTCCAGTCCTTTGTTTGTTCATATGCAGGCTAAGTTCTCCTTTCCCCTAGTTTACTGTTCTTCTATCTTGTTTATTTTTGCTTGACTATTCCATTCAACTCCCACAGCTGTTTATTCTACTTACACCATATTTGCATTCCACCAATGAGGATTTTCTTCTGGTTGTGATGACAAAATGCCTGTTCCTGTAGATGGAAAAAATATACATACTAACACATAGAGAAAAATATCCTTCACGCAAAAAACAGAGAACATTCAGCATTAATTCAATGACAGATGGTTAAAAAAAAACCAACAACATTTGCAGGTATATATGCCAGAGCATCTGAAAGGATGCAATATTCACAGTAAAAATATTTCAGACTAAGATAGGAAAATATTAGATTTAATACTTCATTTTTGTACTTCATGTATAGAAAAATAGAACCTATATCACTAATGTTTGAAATAATTTTTCTTTTTGGTCTAAACAGATAAGCTTACATAGTGGAAAACCTAAACACATACAAATACTTAAGTGAAACTTAAGCATGTTTAGAAGTAAACAACACAGACTAATCTAAGTAAGGGAACAAAGGAAAATTACAGCATTCTGAATACTTTGAGCATAACTGATTATTAAGCTTGGCAGGAAAGAAGTATTGGTGAGCCAGCAAAAATTAACCAATCTCCATTTCTAAACCTTTGTTCTATGATAACTAAACATGCCATATAAGGACAGCCAATGGTCTCTTAGCATTCTTGGGGATCCTTCTCCAACTTCAATGAACATCAATGTAGATGCTGAAGCCATAGAGGCTGTGCAGTCCTGTAGAGATTTGTAGTAAAATCTATTTATTAGGCCTATCTCTCCTTTTTTAAACAGTTCATTACAAATCCCTATAATTAATGAGAGGAAAATTGTACAAGAATTTGATCTTTTACTTTATTTAAAGCCCTGTTGCTTCATACCCATATTGGCAAAGAGGAAATTGGGTCCCTTTTCCCCTCTTGCTTCACTTCTGTAACACAGATTTGGGGATCTGCATGTGGTGTAGCAAGAGAGAGGATACATCCATCTAGTTATTACTCTCACTCCTTCCAGAGCCAGTTAGATCTGAGATTAATATTGCTCTCTAACATAAAAAAATATTTCAGATTAAGTCCTACTTGCAACAGAAGTGTCAAAACTTGGTTGTGTAATCTAACATTGGCATTTCTATTCCACACCATTCTGGAAGACAGCAGATTATAGATTTAAGTTATGGAGGGGGGCAGCTTCTGATTGAAAAAAATAACAACAGTGGAACCAATTACAATTGTCAATGGAACCAATTAATCAGAGAGGTGGTGGGTTTTCTTTTACAACATGAGTTTCTACTAGCTATCTGTCAACAATATATCAGTTTGAATCACTACTCTAAACAGAGGGATAAATTTAATGACTGCAATGGCCTTTTCCAGCTCTAGGATGCTACTCAAATATTTCCCATTCTCTTCAATTTATAGAAGAAGATATGCTTTGCAAAGAATGAAAAGGAGATTTTGCATTGGAGGCTTCTTTCTATTAAAATTCAAAATAATAGCATGCATTATTTTGATTTTAGTATGTTATCTCTTTTTTTTAAAAAACTCTCTGCATAAATACTAAGTGAATAAAGCAAACATTATTTATTCCAAATAAATAATAGAACATACACACACACACACACACACACACACACACACACATATATATATATAAAGTATGCATTTATGTAGACAGCAGAAACAATATATAATTCACAATTTAAATCTCAGACTTATTGGAAGAAAACATTTACCAGTTCTGGTAATGGGCCAATCCTTGGAGCTCATTAATCTCCTCATTGTTTCATAACGAGAGTTGCAATTCTCTCTGCTGAAGCAATACCAGCCTCCTGCATCCAATAACAATAATAATGATGATGATACCTCAGTAATTGTTTCCTGTATCACTAATTCACATAATTTTAAGCTGTGATTTATGAAATAGATGCTTGATGGAATTAGCCATAAAATTATTTTATAACACTTGATATTATTTTTCCTATATAAATTTATGGATCAGATAGATATATTTTAGAAGCTATATAGAATCCCACATAAAATAATCATAGAATCTAATTTGATCAAGACCTTAAACTTGTCAAATTATGCAAACTTCCTTTGCAATAATCTGAACATAGCAATATTAACTTCCTGTTAATATGAAAATATGTACTGAATAGGACAGGACTGCATTGTAGTTTACCACTTTTGCCATCTTTTTAACATCTACTGTAAAAGTAATGAGCAACCCATTGGTTTCATTGGCAGATTACTATCATTTTCATAATACAGTGTGTTCTGTCTTGAATTTCTTCCTTATAAATCATGTCTTCATTCAGCTTTCAAAGTATGTTTCAAAGTATTAATCTGTATGCCATTGGTTTTTTCATATTACACCCTATTTCTCTTATCTGGAAGTGATCCAAGTGAAATAGGATTGCTTTATTATTTTCTGACTGAGTAATCAAATGCCAATAAAGATAGTTCTGCTCTTTACAGGGCACACAACAGGCACATTCATTCCTTAGGATAGGATCCATGGATGCAAATCCAATAAATCCAATTAGTTTCAATAGGATTTACTTTCAGGTCATAACCATGAAAACTTGACTCTGCCTTTAGTCCGTGTGTAATATATATATTACACACACACACGCACATCTGTTTTCCCTTATTAGATTAAATTGTATGCTTTGAGGGTTGTGATGAAAAACTGAAGGCTTCCTATGTAGAAAATGCAGGATTTTTGACAAGATTCTTGAAATTAGAACTACTTGACATCTCTAGTTTATCATATCTTGTTTATCTGAATAGCAAATGTAAAAAAAAAATCACAATGGTAATCCTTAGGTAAAAGTTGATCATTTCTTCCAAAGTAGCATAATGTTGTTATCCTAACTGTTTTTATCTGAAACAAAATTTTATTGAACTTAGTGGGACTTACTTCCAAACAGATGGTTTTCAAAATAGAAATGTCCCTAAGGTGTTTTTCCAAAAGGATCTTTCTTTCTTTCTTTCTTTCTTTCTTTCTTTCTTTCTTTTTCTTTCTTTCTTTCTTTCTTTCTTTCTTTCTTTCTTTCTTTCTTTCTTTCTTTCTTTCTTTCTTTCTTTCTTTCTTCTTTCTTTGAAAACATTTTGCTTTTCATCTAAGTTTCTTTAGTTCTGATTGGTGGGGAATGGAAGGATTTCTAATCTTTGCAGTCATTTAGTCTTTTAGCGCTCTAAAGGTTGATTGTCAGGCTCTCTCTGCTATTCTTTTGAGGCCGCTTGAGGGTTTATCTGAATGCTCAGATTCACCTGAACCAGTGTGCAAATGGGTGTGATACCTTCTTGGGACTGCTGAAAGGACTGTGTTGTAAACAGAAGATAGGTGGTGTGGGATCCTTCCCCCTCTATTGAGGGCTGTTCAATTTCAATATAGGTAGCCTCTTTGATCCCTCTTTCAAAAAGGGTCCTTTCTGTCCAGAATGTGGACTTTGCTGTCTTCAAAGAGTGATCTTTGTCTTTCAGATGGACTTCTTAATCATGTCCCGATGGGTTTGTTTTCCTGTGCTATGTGTTTGTGAAATGGTTGTTTTGTTTCCTTAATGTACAAATCTGCACATGTCTCGCTGCAATCCCCTTCACAAACCACATTGCTCAATTTGTGTCTGGATGTTTTATCTTTAGGGTGGACAACCTTCAGTCCCAAGAAGGTTCCACCTTCCATTTTCCACCATTCAGTTAGAACTAAAGAAGAAGAGAAGCAAAATGTTTTCAAGGAAAAAAACAACCCAGAAAATCAATTGCCTTTTGGAAAAGCACCTATGGGACAACCATGACCTGGATGATTGAAAATCTCCGTAGACATAAAATAGAAAAGCTTATGAATTAGAAGGGGGGGGGAGGAAAAACCATATAAGATTTCCAAATTCACAGGCTTACTGAATAAATGCAGCAAAATCTAGAAACTACAAGGATAGATAAAATTAAAGTACAAGCAAACAGAAGAAATGGATTGAATACTAAGGCAACAAGAGTCATGTACCGTTCTTCTACTTTCTGGTGCCCTTCAGACATTGCGTTGCTGAGTGGTGATTTTGGAAATTGTACTCAGTGTGTATGAAGTACACCAGGTTAGAACACCTATGGATAGGTTTCATGGAACTCAGCAACATTTATTCCTATATGTAGCTCTGATTAGAATTATTGGACTAATTAGACTGTCATAAGTTTGCAAGACATAAAGACATGTGCAACAATGGCAGTAAGGATGAAAGGATGAAGACATTGGTTGCAAAGAAAGCAGCCAGCACATATTAATATTCGTCACAAATTTTTGAAGAAAGCAGCTGGGATGTTACTTTGTCGTCTCTTAAATTTTTTAACCTAAAGGGTCTGAAATCATTGAACTTTGCTTTAAAACTCAAAATAAAATTAAAGAAAACTCAATCTCACCTTCCAAGAATAGAAGCCATCTTCTGCTGCCTTTTGATTCTTTGAGGTAGTAGCTAAAATAAAAACAAATAGAAGGCAGCGTGAACTTAATTAGGGAGACTGGCTCGCTCAACCACAATCCCTTTGATACACCAACTCATTATAATATCAAGAGAGTTACATAAAATACTTGGTTAAAGAACAAGAGAAAGAAACAGGATGGCTGTCAGAAGAGCTCCAAACAGAGTCTGATCAAAGGACCTTCTCAGGGACTCTGAGCCAGGCTGAGCTGGCTTTCATCTTGCTCCAAACTAAATGCATTAAACAAATTCCTAGCATTCCTAAGTATTTCCAGGCAGGAAAGAGTTATTCCACCTGTTACTGACTGTGCTCTTGGTAACAGCCACATGGTGGAAGCAAAGCTTAAACACTAAGGATGGATTGTTTCAGCACTTTTGAAGTACTAAGTATTAATAGCAAACAGTTCTGTGTGCTCTCTGAAGCATCTCTTCTTGGGGGGAAATGATGCTTTCAGAAAAAAGGGAAGAGACTAGCCATACATTAAGCACATACAGGCAAAGGCTACAGGCTTGCTTAGAAAATTCACTAAGTTCTGATCCAGAGCTAAGCTCATTCTAAAAAGTCTGAGAACTGCATTTTTATTAGAACCCAGAGAAACTTTCTACATCTTTTCAATACATTCTGCAAACTTCTGATCTTTTTGCACTTGACTAGAGTAAATTTGTCTAATACAGGTCAGTCATCAATATCTCAGAAATCCAGAAGACAATTTCTCTTTTCCTCCCTACTTTGAGGGTTTTCGTCTGCCTTCGGTTAAAGATTTGTGAATCAAGGCACCTCCAAGCAGTATCGCTTTGAATTCCAGATACTTCAGGCAAGGAAAAAAAAAATGATAAACGGGAGGATACAGATCCGCAATTAAGCTATATACAAATGAAGGTACATGAAGCAAAGCCCACGAAGAAGCATTCCATGAAAAGTTCTCTTTTTCTACTCTGCATAGGATCCAGGAAGAAAACTGGCAATTGAATGAAACAGAAAGAGACGAGGCGCAGCAAGTTTGGCATCTACACTCACCCCGCTGGACTGCCGTCGTTGCAGGTGACCGAGCTGTTCAGAAGCAAGTGAAGCCTCAGCTCCTGGTGCAGATTCTGCGCGGAACAAGGGTACAGCGACTGCGCCAGGCTCTTGATCTGAGCCATGAAACTGTCCATGTTCCCCTCCACAGCGGTAAAGTCCAACGGGAAGCTCTCCACCGGCTGCCCAGCCGCTTCGCTTCGCTCTCGGGCCGCCGCGGCGGGTTGCTGCTGCGGTCCACGCCGCCTCCAGCTCTTCCTGCCCTCCCCGCCAGGGCCCCAGTGCAGGAGCCCCAAGAGCAGTAGCATTTGCACCGTCCCTCGACCCATCGCGACGCGGAGCCACCTGCTGCGGAGGAAAGAGGACCGGGTAAGCGCCACCGGCTAGCTCCAAGGGGGCAGAGCTGGGACTACAGTAAGGCTCGGTCGTCTGGCCTCGGGCGGCGGGATGCTCCTTCTGCCCCTGGTGGCCAAAGGCGCTTGGCGGGATGAGGGGCTTCGGCCTCTGTGCCTGCTCCGTGCCTTGCCTTGCCTTGCCTTGCCAAGGGTCTGGCAGCAGCGGCCCCGTCTCGCTCGCTCCAATGAGCTGCGAGCAAAGCAGCGTCTGGGCGTAGTTAGAGGCAGCCGGTGCCTGGTGCTCGCGCTGTCCGGGTTCTGCGGCGGGGCTCGAGGGCGCTCGGCTTTTCTTGGCGCACGGACTCGCCGCCTCGTCCCAAACCACAAGCATGACAAGAGGGGCCAGGAGTCACGGGGAGCCCACCGGGGGCGCCGCCAGCCTGGGCGTCGCATGGGGCGGCGGCGGCCAGTGAGCCCCCGCCTTCCCGTCGCTGGAAAAGGAAGAGAAGGGGAGGAGAGGAGTACAAGGGGAGGGGGAGAATTCTCTTTCATGCCCCAGCCAACAGACGTCGCTCTGCCGGTCGTCCTCTTTTCTGTTTTCCCGTCCCGTCTGGCGAGACGCTCAGGGAGGCCAAAGCACCTTCGTAACTTCCCGCCCAAAAACGCAGGGCGACGTTCCTAGCGGGAAAGCGGCCGCGGCTCTTGACTCAGAGGAAGGGAGGGCGAAGCGGGCGGCACTTTGAATTCCGCCGGTTTCCCGCCGGGACTTGCACCCCTGCTGGGGACGGACGCCGGTGAACAGTCGCCTTCCCCTCGTTCGCAAGCGGAGCTTGGGGTGGGGTGGGAATCGCTTCGGTGAAAGACGAGCCACAGCCTTCGGGGCCTCGGTTGTGATCTTCAAGGATCGGCGACTGCAGCCCGCCTTTTCTTCCAGAGACCCCCATGCGCCTGACCGTCCTCCTCCTCCTCCTCGCCCGTGCTTTGAGTCCCTTCCCCTGCCCCAATGCGGGATGCCCTCAACCACGTAGGCAGCGCCAGGCAGCCTCTTCGGCGCTCGCGTGTGTACAGCATTGTGGAGGAACAGCGGCGATTCTCTCGAGCCGAAGCTCTTTGGGGAAAAGGCAGAAGGATCTGCGGGTGTCCCGCTACCTTCGGTCCTAGCTGCTTTCATAATTTTCTTCCTCACCGTCAGGACGTAAGAAACATCAAGGGCAGAACCCGACCCAACCTTTCAGGTTTCACGATACTGTAGTTACCATTAGGTTTACCATATCCGGGCTGCAAGATTCCCGATGACCCCTAGATGGCAATAAGGAGCTAGAGAAAACTACCACCACCACCAGCTCTAGCCGTCCAGCCAGACGACTTTTGCCAATCAGTAAATGATATGAGACAAGACGCTCTTTATTAATTTATTCTCAATACATATCAGAGATATTATGATCTCCTAAACTCCACTGAAGTTGTTACCTAGTCTGGTAAGGGAACGTTCGGAAACCAGTCACAAGCTCGGAGAACAATTGTCCTTCACCCTCACATATCAGAGAGATAATAGCTAAATATCATTTCCAGACGAGCTGCCTGGCCGGCTAAATCCCTATAAACAATGGGAATCTCTCTTGTAGATACGTCTTATTCTGACTTATTTGAAACCATGGCAAACAATGCCAGCAACATCAGATCAGTGTTCCTCACCAGTGTCAAATTCAAAAGCGGAGCTGTTTGAATACTGGACTTTTATGTACGGCTCGCCTTAGTGAGATTAGTTGAAAATATTTGTAAAGTAGATCTCTGAGTGTTTTTGTCTTATTTCTTGGACTGTTGTGTAAGGATAAGCATTATCGCTCATTTAAGTCAACGGTTTCATATTATGATTATTTGATGAAATATGGATACATTTGAAAATTGGTAAAAGCAATGTTTTCAAAAGCAGAGGTTTCTTTGTTTTTAGGTAATGCATACTGTAATTGTTTCTTACCAGAGGTATTTTTGGGGAAGATACCTTTGTGGAAGAGAAGGAGAGTCTCATTTCTAAAATCAGAATTGCACATAACATGAATATATAGTATTGGTAAGTTTTTATATAAAATCACATACACTATATATAAAATCTTATGTAGCATTTATATAGAAGATCTGATCCACTATCCAGAAGCATTGATTATGAATAAATTAAAACAACAGATTAATCTAATTAGCAGCTAAATGTAGTTCTTCCAATACTTAGTGAATATTTTTAGTAAAAAATTAATAGCAAATTCCTAAGTATACAGAACTAAAGATAAATGAACCAAATAATGTCTTCATATGATGCTTTTAGCAAAACAGGAAGTTTATTTGTTGATTTGAGAAAGCATAAATAGGGGGAATTATAGAATATTTTGTGCTATGGCATTGAAGGGTAGTTGTTGGATGCACTAACTGGTAAATGATGGAAATAAAGCATACACGAGAATAAATGGAATGCTTGGCAAATGGTTCAAGGATGTGTGAGCAGATTGTGTATTTAGAAGTAAATATACAAGAAATGTTTAGTAATATTTGAAGTATTTTAGGAGAATAGATGAATGTATGCATACTTCTGTATGCACATACTTCATTATGTAGTAATGTTACTTATGGGTGAATGTGTAAGAAATGCTCACAGTGATATTAAAAATATATTAGGAGAAGACATGAATATATGCATATTTCTGTTTGCTGACATTGCCATGTTATTGAGAATCAAAATTATTTTCCACATTAGACTGTATGATGCAATAAAGCATGGATCTGAAAATTATTGTATCAAAGACTAAAGTAGTTATATTTTATGTTTTACTAGGAAAAAATTGCAATTGAGTGAACAATTGCACAATTTATATCATTTTTGAAATATTATAATAAACAGATGAATTTGTATGCCCATCAAACTGTAAGAGTAGCAGTAGCTCTTGACTTACTTACAACCATTCATTTACTGATCATTTGAAATTACAATGGCATTGAAAAAAGTTACATGACCGTTTTTTCACACTTACAAGTGTTGCAGCATCTTTATGGTCAGGTGATCAAACTTCGGACACTTGGCAACTGGCATGTATTTATGACTGTTGCACTCTCCTGGGAGTCATATCACCATTTATAACCTTCTCAGCTGACTTCTGACAAGCAAAATCAATGGGAGAAGCTGGATTCGCTTAATGATGGCATGATTCACTTAGCAACTGCAGTGATTTGCTTAACAGTTGCAGCAAAAAATGTTGTAAAATTGGGCACAACTCACTTAATAACTGCCTTGCTCAGCAATGGAAATGTTGGGCTAAATTGTTGGTTGTTAAGTCAAGGACTATCTGTATTTCCAGATTGCCTAATCATAGGACAAACTAAACTTGTGCAGTTTTGTGTTACATTATATAGTTTAACAGAATTCTATTTTCCAAAGTCAATTACTATTAAACTATTGCCAGAGTACCTGCAATTGTGGGAAAGATTAATACAGACTAAAAGTAATAACAATCATATGAGCATCTGCAACTTTTATTGACTAGCAAACAGCATTATTAGTCTCATTTCACCCCAGGAATTGAAACTGGCCAATCTGCTGCTGCTGTAGCTGCTGCTATTTGGCTGAGTATTTGGAAGTCTTCTCCACAGCAGAGAAATCTAGAAATTTGCTCCGCAGTCCAATCCAAATTGTCTCATTGCTGGAATCTGCTAGGTCCGGAAGCTCCTGACAATATCATGACACAGAGAAACAGGAGACTTTTGCAGGATTGGTGGAGTTCCTGAACTCTGCTGACTTATTGTTTTAGTTCAGAGTTATTGCACAAAGTCAGATTTTCAAATATAATGCCATTTTCTAGTAGTTACTAACACTCAATTACTGTTTAAACTATCTGGCCTTTAAAAGTCACATTATAAACTATCTTTACGTTTCTTCAGTTTGAAAGCTATCACGACAACCAGTTTCTTCAAGCTTTATGATCCCAAACAGCTCTCTGATCCTTTTCCAGACATGCCTAAAATGCCCATTCCAACCCTATACCACAAAGACTTGCCTGAAAAAAAAATCTCTTATCTTTTTTTCTGAAGAAAGTTTATACTGCAGATAAGGGAAAGAAACCAAGAATGTTGGTTAAGTGCATCTTTCTGCATTTCTGACCTGTGCAAGATGTAGGACATAGATGGAGGAAAAATACTTTCCTGAGGCCTGACTAGAGGTCTATTCAACTCTTCATCCATATAACATTTTGCCACCTTTCTCATGAGATGACCTCACATAGTAAGCAGGTTCTCAAAGAATTACTTCAAAATGCATTGTGTCATCTCAGATTACATATGCTGCTCGTTTTATCACATGCTAATTCTCTGGAATCCACATGGCATGCATAGGCATCCATTCCTAACCATAATGATGTTAAAAGGATGAAATGTCAGATGCTCCATCCTTTTATAGTTGCACCATGGTGTCCCATGTAAGCAGAAAAGCAGTGTTTGTATCTCAAATTATATTTCATTACTTGGTCCCCCCACCCTTTGGTGGCATGGTCAAACACACACACACACACCACCTCTGATGAATGGAGCCCATCAAGTGGTTGATCTGATTATTATTGCCACAGGTGATTTTTTAGCTTTTGTATTGGGGTTTTATTTTTGTAAACAGCCCAGAGTTATTGTGAGTTAATTAGGTGGCTATATACAATTTCTTTACAAATAAATCTCAACAAAAGCAATAATAAAGCTATATGTGATATAACTTTATGCTATAAAAGGAAGGGGGAAGCCTTGAAATTTATTATGTAAAAAACTCTTAGGAAAATTTGAAGTTTGCTTGAAAATATTTTAATATCAGTTAAAAGAATAGTTCAATTTTTTGGCAAATGGCATTGCTGCAAATAAATTTATTTTTCCAATGATATATACATACAGATTCCATATTACCTGATATTTTAATAATCTTCAACTACTGGGAATATTTCCAGAAAGAAGTGACTACAACAATCAGCAATTACTATTAAGTA